ACTGCCAACTCTGGGCCCTGAGTGCGTCACCGTTCGCGTCTCCATAACACCTTGTGATATTTTATCTGCGCGTTTTGACTTTATTGCAATGCAACACTACCTTGCATGTCACTTCTAATGCCACATTTAACGGGACACCAGTTTCACCGTATAAAATAACGCTAAAATTCAATAAAGGGTTCACATTACACAGGTCGCGACATTTCAGCGACATGGCCTCATTCTATGTAGCGGAATTTCCCATATATCCGAGGAGGATAAAAACCGAACTGTACTCTACCACTACTCCCTTCAGCACTTGTTTTATGCGGGGGCTTTCGTACGACCCATAAATATTAAAATGGCTTTGTCAGAGGCGTCACGTGCTGAGTCCCCTGAAATGTGCACAATGAAAGGAAGAATTACGTAACACTTTGAAACCTCTAAATCATTGCACACAAATCAGAAGAGGAGCATGCTTAAAATCGCGGAAGTCGTAAAACTTACTAAAGGTATTATTGAATAGCCTCTAAATTAAGGACTTTTTCAAAAGTGGTAATTGTGCAATTGCGCACCCTCGGGAGTCCTCATTCCAGCACGAAGAAATGCATACTGATATTATGAAGCGGCTTCTAAATGCAGAAATATGCAAAAATGCAAAAAGTAAGTTATTTTTTGATTTGCCATAGGGCCTTCTAGAGACAGAGGCAGAATGCTGGTGGCAAGTTTTGTGTACATTTGTACAAATTCTATGTGTAGGCCTTTCTACGTCAAAATGATGTCCACAAGAGGAAAGTCTTTAATAAAGCTTTCTGTGGGGAGTTGATTCATAAACTTAGTATTTCAAATATTCTTAGCAAAGGCAAGTACAGTTCTAAATCTATATCACAATTTTAACTAGGCGAGTTTACCGACATTGACGTTGGATGCCGTCCTCTCTGAGGATTTGCTGTAATGCCAGTGAGAGCACTTCGCCCCTGCTCTTATCCCAGCTGCTTGTCAGAGATGGCATCTGTATGTCATTTTGGTGACAAAATACGACAAGTCAGAACTTGATAGTAGTTGGTGAAGCACAGTGCCATTAAAACCTAGTTTTGCCTGCTGATCTCCTGTTTACCCTTTTATTCTAGACTAAATTAAACGTGGAAGTTTATTCTCCTCAGATTGGTCAGCGTAACCAGGAAGACTGGGTTCAGTATAAACTTAAGCACCGGAGAACTTCGGTCGATTGATTTTATTGCAGTTGTTAGAGGAAGACCTACGTCTGCTTATTGTTTCTTCGAGGCATGATGAACATTTAGGTGATTGAAAGTGACGTTGCGAGTGTGAAAAACGAAACATGCTACTCCTCTGTTTACACGACGAATGTTTTGCGCTGAATTTAGCTGATTTTATTTCGCAATATAAACTTCACTGTATTTTTAGCAAGCTTATTAAATGGCACAGACAGTAAGTCGTCAAAATCTAAAACATTTAGTGCTTATAAGGTAATGCAGGTCAAAAACACAATTCCCGCATGACTAGGTGTGCAATGACTTGCCCCAACCTCTGATTGTTTCTGCTAGTATTTTCTTTTATTATAATTATCCAAAACTACAAGCACCAAAATAAAAATTGCCTGGGGATATTATCCATCTGAGTCGGAGCAAGAAAGTGCACATAGCGCACATATTCAGAATTGTTGACGTGAGGGAGTATTTGAAATATTTGGCGGATAAACGTGTAGCCAATAAAAATGCCGGAAGGACGACCAACAGACTAGCCGGCGTTTCAAAAATTTTACGCATTGTATTTTGTCTGATATTATTTTAGATTGCTTTTTAGTTTATTTAAAAAAGGAAATGGTGTTTGGAAGGTCGTCTACTTCAACTTACCTGTGGCCCGACTGTTCCGGAGTCAGTTTAGTATAGTCCGCGGGGTAAAGCGCCGCGCACACCTTCAGTGTACATGTGCAATAACTTAAATGAAGTCTTTTATGCGTTTTCTTCCAGTTTTCGCAACCGCTTCTCGACAAATAAAAACAGTAAAACGCCCACCAATATATTGGACTGTCATGCCGCACGTTCATTGGTTAAAATTATCCACCACATTTGTGCAAATAGGGTCTCTCAAATGTCCCCCTAACGATTTGGACCGAACGGGAAAAAATTAATATATCGTCTAACTCTATTTGCCAGACGGCATTTAATTTGCACGCGCCGGTTGCGTTGTCGACAGAATGCGTAAATAAGAACTTCCTCCTCCCAGTCTGGAGGTCTTGTACTAAGTTCCGCCGTTGGGGCCTGAGTTAAAGTTGGAGATAGAATTAGGTTTGAGCTTGTGCCGAGGGCTTTGCCTAAGAGCACTTGCCTTACTGGTGGCGGTTTTCTCACCTCATTGTTCTACAGCTATTTT